AAACGCAATGAGCAGAAAAATGGGACAAAATGAGTAAGATGAAGGGGATGAAATGGAGGAGATCACCCGGCGTGAGCAGGGCGTGCACCGAGATGACGAGCAGGAATCCAGAAACTACATCTCGGTCCCAGAGCAGTCCAGAGTTCGGAGAAAATGGGTGAGAAGGGGCAATGGATGAAAAGGAGACACACTTGTAGTGGGCAGAGCCTGTCCCGCTGAGCTAAGTTCAGAATTCAAATTTTAGTTCCAAGGACCCTAGAGATAGTGAATGAAAAAGTAGATCCGTACATTGGCTTTCTCAGTGGAGTTGAATTTGGTGATCATGCGTATCGTACGCAGTTCAGTAACGATGTCCATAGTACTTCGATTGTTGTATTGTGGCCAGTATTTGAACACCCATGACGGCTGTTTCTCTGTCATCCCATGAAGTAACTGAAAAAATAGGAACCATTAGATGGAATCTCTGGCCCAGACTTATGGCAATTCTCGGCTCACTTCTCGTTGAATATCATAAATCTTGTTGATATTTTGATAAGAGAAATTAGCGATTCCAGTTTGTTCTCCAAGCACTTGGAACATCTCCGAATACTGTGCGTTATACACTTTTGCCTGATCATTGTCCTCAGCCGCAACCAAGTCGTCATACTTCTTGCACGGTGTACCTGTCGGCTTTACCAGCTGAAAAGGAGATCTTCAAATTCTGCAGGAAGAAATTACCAAGAATGTGACTTCTAGCAATTTTTTTCTCAGTAGCATGTTTACTTTTTCTCAGTTCGATGGTCAACCGCTAACCCTCATTTCGATGGCCAACCGCTAACCCTCATTTCCTACTGTCTGTTCGCCTACTCATTTGAGTGAGCTGTACATTCAGAAACTAATGCGATTCTTCCTGACCAGATCCGCTATCCTTATATCCTTCTTCGGAAGCCTTTCGTGCAAGGATAATATCTTCCATCTGAAAAGAGAATCTTCCTTGCAGGGGCACATCATCGTTGGGATTCCCCAACAGGGGCGTCCTAGTTGGTGTGAGAAAATTTTTCGATAGCCGATTTTTCTCGTTTCACGGAAGCTCTGAGGGGAGGGTGGTTGTATTTGCTCGTTGTTGGGAGAGGGAGGTGGCTATAATTGCCTTCCGAGAGAAATTTGCGGTTTCATGTTACGCATGTGCTATATACACCCCCCCCACCTCCTCGACAACCATTCGAAGAGAGGTAACTGGGGATTTAGTATCACAGACCAGCTAAGGTGGGGGGGGTCGTATGGACTCGACCAAAATCCCCAGCTAATCCTGTGCCCTTATCCTTGTGCTCCATTGTCAAAGGCGACAGCGGGCTCAAAGAGTGTCAGATTGAAGACTCCTATTCTCCTTTTCTCCAGTCCTCCTTTTCTAGATGCTGCAAATGAACCAGAACCAATGGCTGGCTCAATGTTTTACTGTTATGTTCATACCGTCTTACTCTTGTTCTCACTTTGGCCAATCAAGTGATTCTTCGCCCAACACCAAGTCATATTAACTTCTAGCTCACTCATTTACCTGGGAGATCACAGAAGCCTGACACTTTTACTGAGGACCCTCCTCTTTAAACACTCCTGCATAACCCGCCTTCTCTTTTTCGCTGATAGGTTCAGTCTTGTGTTGTTTCAATCTCCCATTCACATTTTCACATTCTCAATTACCTTGGTTATTGGCAGCTTCCATTAGCCTGGTCTGCTCATTATTTGTATTAATCCGATTTCTTTCGAGAATCATCAAAATATAGCATAAAATATAGTATGTTCGCACGTGCGGCGATCGCGACGCCACGCGGACAGGGTACAGCATCGTGATGTGTGAAATGGTGGTGCCAGTACGACCCCATCCCCCACCTGAGTGAAGGTCCCGGTACAGCTACCCCACCGGCACCTAACGGGGGCGGTGGGGGGTGGGCGCGGAGGGATATATAGTGCACATAAAACAGGAAAAACCATAAAAAGTCAACTGGGAAATTTTTTTCCCAACGCGGCGAAGCCCTATCAAGGCCACATACGACCATAAATATAAAGTGCTTCCCAGGAATACGGCTCTGATTCTGCCCCTATGTGCATAATAACCTTCTGCTTGGTCTCCGCCTGCGCCGTATTCGGAAGGGACGTCGCTTACCGTTCTACAGTCAGCGCTTCGAAGGTGAAGGTATTTAAGACGAATGTGGGCGTAGTACTGTCACAAGGAACGATGGGAGTTCACTAAGCGCCCTGAAGGTCCATGAACGCAGCCACCCACACCTTAGGAACAGTTCTAGCGTCATCTGACTACTCTAAAATTTCGGCCACCGCGAAGACTTGAAGGTTGAGGATGTCCTTCCTTCCTTGTATATATTGGAAGGATCTCTTGGCGAATCTGGCGCTTATTAATGAATGTTGGTTACCGCACGTAAACCATGCAAGCTGCATAGGATACCTCAAAAGGAACAGCCTAGCAGAGCCTGAACCAGCTGCATGAAAAGGTTTTATTATTTTGTTGATGCCAATGGAAATGGATGCTGCTCGATACTAGTACTGCAGTAACGACTGCTTTCTGCTTGAATTCGGATGCTCAGCAGTTTGATCGGAGCAGCCTAATGCATCTGTACTCCACGAGCATGGGCACCTATCTGGGATAATGAGACTATTTGGTGTTAAGTAACTATCCCCTAGGAGATATGTAAAACCATTTATCTCAATCAAGAACGGGACTACGAGTACATCGCGCTTACTCGCAGACCATCGCAGCCAGTGACCACCACATATTTAGGTGTAAAATATCCCTCAGGGGACAGAAATTTTGCTCATTCTACCCATTTTCGCACAAATTCCTTGAATCGAAGGCCATCTCTTTTCATCGCAGGACTCGCTGAAAGCGGTGACGACACTGCTTACAATATTAATGTTCCAGAACTCGGTTAGTGAAGGATTCGCTTCGCATGAAAGATACATTTATGTTAAAATTGCCTGATTGAGGTTGGCGAGCCATTGAGCGTTCCACAAGTGATGACGTATGTACTCTCACTCTGCTTGGAGACCGGCATATTTATGACCGGTTTCTTAGGCTCAGGTAATTCTTCACTAGAAATCGCGCTCGCCCTGGAGAATCATGTGGTCCTCCGGAGTCAGTGTAGGATATTTCTTTCACTCACATCTCAGAATTTCGCCACGTGTTGGTCGCAGTTCGTGTAGTGGGACCTACAACCTAGAAGCTCCGCTTCAGTGGCACAGTGAACGTTTCGTCGCACTTAATAATTGACGAATTGTGAGTTAATGACTATTTAACTCATCAACGCGAGCGATTCGCAGCCTCTACCGAAGTGTCACCGGAAGTCCTTCAACTCTCGTCCTTGTACATAATCTCATAATTATTCTGCCATGCTCACCGGTTCGCTCATTGTTTTGAAATGGCAGGCACTCCTAAAATTCAACGGCACACCAACTAGTCTCTCTGTCTTCATTCCAACTTTGGCTATTTATGCAGAGGTTTTCGGAAGGGGTTGGACTAAAAATAGTCACATGGATGGAAGTAGACTGTGCC